CAGCCTTATTTAACCGATAGATGTTGTGCATTTTAAAATCCATCTATTCTTTGCAAATTTTTCAGTTAGGGAGTGGAGCAGAATCTAGAAAAATGTCACTCCTCAGGATTCCAGACCAAGGGGCTGTATCCCTCTCAGGATGTGTCCACATTATTTTCTATCGGAATCTCAAACTAAGTGCACATAACTTTAAAAAGAAATTGTTTGAAACTGAAGTGAGCAATTCAAAACAGCAGTTTCTAAAATCAAACAGTCTAATACAATTCTTAGTCCAGAGATCTGGTATTCACATGCTGTAGAGTGAAGGCAGAAAGAAGTTAAAAGTATGTGTGTTTTATGCTGAGAACATCATCTTCCTCCTGTAAGAGCAGAAAAGAATTACAAGACCACAGCTTTGAACACAGCAGAGTCTCCAGTGTGAGCCAGGAGTTTCAGGAACATTCCTAGGAGTTACTAGGTGTGACTGTGTGGGCACAGTGCACAGCTTGTGTGTTCCGAGCCAATTTGAAGTTGTGCGCTATAACTCAGGGGTGGGGTGCCCTGTATGTTTCAGATTTGTTACATGGGTTTAATTTTAAATTAATTTCTGAGTGTTGCATGTCTGAAAGGTTTCTGAAAACCTTTCACTCTCACCGAATCCCACACAGTGTAAGAGGATGTACCACAGAGAGTCACCGCTCTCCTTCATAGCTTTTTAAATTCATGTTTTCTTTCACCTACCGTATTTTTAAATATGGCATCTAACATTTTGTTTGTTTGTTTGTTTTTAAGTGAAGCGAAGTTTGTGTTTTACAAAGATATTTTAAAACAGAGGCCAGAAGGTTGAGAGGAGGAGAGAGGTTTGTGAGAGGAGAGAGACAGACACACTTGAGAGCATGAATGTGGGCTTCTCCAGCAAAGATGCTCTGTTGCTTTGTGGCTGTACCATACTGCGATTAGCCCTACTCACCAAGTGGCTGTACCATACTGCGATTAGCCCTACTCGCCAAGTGGTGAGCATTTGTATTGTTTGCAGTTGGGGGCTATTGTGAATATTCTTTGCCCTTCTGTAATCGAGATCTTATTGTTTGTTTCAAAGATTAGGGGTTTTTATTTTTACATCCCCAGACGATCCACAGAGCCCTGTGTGGGGTGTCTCTTTTGTACTTACTCCAGTACCACCCTGCTTTAAAGTCCTGTGCCATCCCCCACCCCAAATAGGATGTAATGTTCCACTCTCTTCAAATGCCTGTTGTCATTTATGTTAAGTCCCACAAATTCATAGTTTTGTGTCACATACACATGTGTTCAGATCTTCACTTTTTTCCTAGGGCATTAGAAAAGCCAGCAAGGCAAAAGATGTTACAGTGCGCACAGTTCTGATAGGGTGATCATCAAGAAGGGGGACTTCAGACTGCACACAATTCCATGACAAATGCAGTGTGGGGGCCAGAGAGGTACCTCCATAGTAAAGAGCCCGTTAAGCAAGTGTGAGGACCTGGGTTTCACCCCCAGCACCCACATACAAGCTAAGCATGGTCACATATGCCTTGTACACTGTGATCACCACAGATGGAGACAGGCAGATCCCCAGAGCACCCTGGCCAGCCAATCTAACCGATTGGTGAACACCAGGGCCTGTAAGAAATGCTGTAGCAGAAGGCCAAGTGGATGATGATTGAGGGAGGCATGATACTAATCTCTGGTTTACACACCTGCACACACACACACACATACACACACACACTCATACATGTGCACTCTCTCTCTTTCTCTCTCACATACACACACAAAGGAATCAGAATGCTCACAAACTGTCATACATACATATGTATATTATATGTATTATATATACTCACACCAAAAGAGTGGGAATAAACATAGTTTAAAATACTTAATACCTATTGAATTTGCCATTTGAGACTCCAAAGTGCCATTTCAAATGCTGTGTATCGTGGGGTATAGTGGAAAGTTTCCACCCATGGTGAGATCCACTGTTGGGGCCTGTGTGGAGGCAGAGCATGATAGGAGAGTGTATGTGAAAGGCCAACACTGGTCACCCTATGGCAGATCAGAACCAGAGCTAGCCATCAAGTACAGGGTCCCACCTGTCTCTGCTGCTCCAGATGTGGAGTTACAAGTGTGCACCCCCGTGACTGGCATTTTCATGTCGCTTCTGGGCATCCAGTTCACTGGGTGTAGACAAACACTTTATAAGTTCACCCATCCCCCAACCCTGCATGTAAGGTCTTAACATGAATGTACATGTGCCATCTGTACGTGGGATTTTCTATTATGTTCTTAATGAATATGGGACGTGGGATTTTTCTATTATGTTCTTAATGAATATGGGATCTGTCGTTATGGCTTCTTTGCATGACTATCATCATTTTTAATGATATCCTCCATTACTGTTCAACTGTTATGAACATATTATGCATTTTACTGATCACCTCAAAGGCAGCTCTTTATTCCATTGGTTTAATCTTTTACCTTTGTTGCTTATACTCCTATACTCTTTGTTCTCTGTTTTTTCTGGCTTATCTTGTTGTATTTTCCTGATTTCACTACATGAACACCTTAATCTGTTTTTCTTTCTGAGGCAGACATTAACCATCATTTATTTCCCTCTGACCAATGATTTATCTGACTTTTATATTCATTCAGCTCTATTTTTAATTTTCCCGAGTTTACCTTTTAACTCATGCACTATTTAGAAGCATGCACTTTAATGTTTGCAAACTATAAAGTCTTGGAATGTTCTTCCCGTTTGTGACTTTATGCATTATAGATGACAAATGCACTACGCAGCAGACGGTTAATGCTACTGATGCTCTCTATGTTCTCTGAATACCACAGGGGCAACAGGTAATGAATGGGTTTCTCTGCTTTGCACTTTTTGAGTAACCAGTAGAGAATGTCTTAAATTCAGGGCCCCAGATGCCGGAGGCCTGTTTTCTGGAGGTACTCAGAGAGACTGAAGTAGGAAGTTTGTGGATCCCAGTGTACAGTGAATTCTGAGACAGCACTCGGGGATCCAAGAAAACTAGCATCAGCACTCAGCCAAAACAGTAGAATGAAAAGTAGGGGGATGTTCTGGCACATTCTTGTAATGACAACACCGCAGCCAGGGTAACGTGCTGTGCTGGTTAGTGTTTTGTCTAATCGATGCAAGCCAGGGTCATCTGGGAAGACGAACCTCAGCCGAGAAGACACCTCCATCAGACTGGCCTGGGGGCAAGCCTGGGAACATTTTCTTGATTAATGATAGATGTGGGAGGGCCTGGACCACTGTGGGCTGTGCCATCTCTGGGAAGGTAGGTTGTCTGGAAGGAAGGAGGAACTAGCAATGAGGGACAAGTCAGTAAGCAGTGTTCCCCTCTAGCCCATGCTTCAACTCCAGCCTCCAGTTAACTCTCTTGAGTTCCTGCCCTGACTTCCCTGCATGATGAAATGTAAGCTGTAAGATAAACCCTGTTCTCCCCACGATGGTTTCGGTCATGGCGTTTATCACAGAAATAGAAAGGTAACTAAGACAACTGGCTCGTGTGCTTTCTGTTGGGGTTCTTCAGCACATCACGCAGAACTGGCATGCAGTGCCATACCAATGGACTACAAGGAGAGAGCAACTCATCATGTCCCATTCATCTTCTTACACTTACTAGGAATTTTATTCCTGTCCTCATGGGGGAGACTCCACTGTTGTTTAGTATCAAGGCAGCACTCAGACTTGGAATTCAAGGCCAACTAGCATAACTTAGGAAGACCCTGGCTCAAAAAGTAAGAGGATCTGGGGATATAGTTTGGTAGTTGAATGCCTGCCTAGCACATAGAGAGTCTTATGCTCAATTCCAAATAAAGAAAAACTAAGTGGATCTACAAAAGAGAGTCAGGGGACAGATCCCTCCTGTCATTGTCAGAGAGCATCGCGTTTGCAGACATGTAAGATGGGAGCTGGCTAAAGGTGTCAGCTGAACATTCCCCAGCTGGATACTGGCCCCTCTCTCTTATCCTAGAGAAGTCCCTGGTTCACCGAGCACTGGATTAGTCTTGCCACCCATGTGTTTGAGGGAGCAGAAAATGCTCCCTGAGTTATTGCAGAAAAATGCAATTGCTAGGCTAATTCTAGAAACTGGGTAATGGTAATAGTCCACAGGGCTGCAGGCTGTGAAGGCTTTTGAGGACACGGGTAATAATAACGTGTTCCAAGCAGTCCCTGTAAGCAGGGAGGTTTTATGAGAGGGTGAAAATGGGATTCCAGGGGCTGTCAGTTTGCATGCTCCCAGGGTCAGAGGGGAAATCTAGAGAAAGCCCTGGGCCTACACCTATACACCCTAGAGTGCATCATCTCCAGGCTTTCCCTCATTATGTACTCACTCCATGTAGCAGTACAGATATTGGAATGTAAGTAGCAGCCTGTGGTGGCTTGAAAGAAAATGGCCCCCAAAGCGAGGGGCACTATCAGGACATGTGGCCTTGTTGGAGGACATCGTGGTCACTGTGGAGGTGGGCTTTGAGGTCTCATATATGCTCATGCCACACCCAATGAGACAGTTCCCTTCCTGCTGCCTGTAGATCAAGATGTAAAACTCTCAATTCCTTCTCCAAGGCCATGTCTGCCTGCATGCTGCCATGTCCTGCTATGATGATAATGGTCTGAACCTCTGAACTGTAGAAAAGCCAATTAATTGTTTTCCTTTATAAGAGTTGCTGTGGTCATGGTGTGTCTTCACAGCCATAGAACCCCTAAGATGCAACCCTAACACCATTTTCAACCAAGCTACTTTTATTCACTGTCACAAACCTCTAAAATGATAATACCCTCCCACTCCTTGCCCCACCCCTCATCCCTGGCTTTATTGCCTAATGACTCTAGACTTCTAGTACCACCCTTAGCACCAGCTGGATCAGCCCTGAGTGGGTAGGCGCTCAACAGTTTTTCTTTTTCATTTTTGGTATGGGGTGCCAGGTAGAGGCAGGGTGAGACTCTGCCGGCTTTGAGGGGACATCACACAGGAGGTTCAGTGCCGCTTCTTTCTCTTCCTCTTCCGGGTGCCCAGTGACTCAAGCTTCTTCTTCTGAGCCGGCAAGGGGTGAGCGAGCCCCAAGGCTGAGAGTGGCCCTTCAAACACCCCATGACCAAGCCCTGGGTTGGACTTCTTAGCCATAGGAGTCAAGCCTCCAATGAGAGCTCGCTTCTTTGACTTGTCAGGACTGAGGCCTCTTATCTTTGGAGATAAGGGTTTGGGGATGCTAGCAGAGTCAGAGAGACCTGAATAGGGGCACAAGTGGCTGGACAGTTTCCATGGCACTAGCCTGTACTGGGACCACAGGAGGAAGGACAGGCTGGGGAGCTCCTCTTTGTCCTCGATGGTTTTGCTCAGTGACTCCTGGAACTCCTCCATAGTAGGAACTCCTCTGAGGCTCATTGCACATCTGGACCCTGGGCTTTGGGGATGGGTTCCTCTGCCACAGGGAATAACAGTGGACCCAATGTCTCCCAGTGAGGGTAAACACTGACTACCTGGGAAAACAGTAGGCCTAGGCACCCATATTTCTGCATTGGTAGCTCCAGGACGCTTATGGTCTAAAGAAGGCCCCTGTGAGGAACCTTTCTGTGCACTGGCCCCTCTCTGGGGACCATGGACATCTCTCTTTGCACCCTGGCAGACAGTCTGTACAGAAGCATTGGTAAGTATCTGAGGAGCACCGGGGTTCAGAGGTGCCCTCTTACAGCCTTTCTTCTTCAAAGCCAGACAGTGCTCCTCCAGCAGCTGCAGGGGGAAAGGTGCATGGAAGACTCAGCCCAGGCAGGAAGGCTCAGGGGACAAAACATTTGGGGGGGGAGGTAGCTAAGGGGATAGCCAACTGTCTCTGAGTGTCAGGGACTGGGGGTCTGCTACCTGACATGCTTGGTTCCTTGCAGCTATATGCTTTACCCCCTCCGCATGTCCATACCCACATCCCCTTCTGGCTGAAGCCCCAGACAGGGTGCCTTGACTTCCTGTAGGTCATGTGGTTCTTATGAGCTGGTCCTCTCCCTTCCCTGTCTACCTGGTGTTCCTCAGCACCCTACTCTATTTGGGGTCCTCCCTGCCCCATCCAGTTTGCCTAATGTCTCTCTATATCCTGTCTGCCTGGTGTCTGCTAATCTCTTGCCTACCCATAGCTTCTTTCTTGTTGTCCCTGGTGAACCTTCCCTATCTACCTGCTCAACACTGAGTTCTTCCTCATACTCCAGCTCCTTCATTAGAGACAGTATGTCCATCTCTGGTTTGGAAGATAGGATTTCTGCCACAAATTGGGGGTTTATTATGGCCTCCACCTACAAACAGAAGGAAAAGGACTTGAGTACCGGGGCTTGGAGTCCTATGTTGCTGCCAAGTCATGATGACAACACACACACACACACACACACACACACACACACACACACACACGCACGCACGCACGCACGCATGCACAGAGAGAGAGAGAGAGAGAGAGACAGAGAGAGCCCAGAGAGAGAGAGAGAGAGGGAGGGAGGGAGGGAGGGAGGGAGAGGTAGATAGAGAGACAGACAGATAGAGACAGAGACACAGAGGGAGCCCTGAAGGTAGGTAATTAGGCTCAGTTACAAGGACTGCAAGACTGAATCTGGCCCACACCAGGGCTCCAAGTGCAGCTCACTTGCTCAACGAAGTGTTTCTGGGAGCACAGCTCATCAATGTAGCTCAGGAGCCCTGCGTCTGAGTGCAGGTCATCTCCTTCCTGCTCTGGCCCGCTGCTCTCCTCTTCCTCCTTTTCTGTGGGCTCTCCTGAGAATGACTGTGGAAGCCTCTCCAGCCAGTCCATAATATCCATGTATTCCTGCACGGCTTCCGGTGGAATTTCCATGGGTGCCTCCGTCTTCCGTAACTGCCTGTGTCTGAGTACTGGGAGGCAGGCAGGGTCAGTCCTGGGGTCAGTCTTCATGGAGTTGCATGCTAGGAGATAGATGATGATACATAGATACATAGTTCTACCCTCACCATGCCATGCAGAGCATAGTTCAGAGGAACCACAAGACTAAGGGACACAAGGGTCCCCAGGCTACATAACAAATGCCCTGGCCTGAATGAAGACACCTATGCACAGGGCAAAACCCCATTTTGACTGATTTGACCTCTGCATAGAGACCTGGGGTATGTGAGTCCTACCTGGTTCCTCAAACACCTCAGGAGCTGGGGGCCATGGAGGATCTTTCCTTGTGGTTGTAAGAACTTGGCACTGGATACTTCTCATCATCTCTAGCCTTGAATTCTCCATCTCCAGCCTTGAATTCTCCATCTCTTCTGCACTTTCAAATTCTGTAAACCTAAGGATGAGGGAGACCAGGTTAGTAACCAGGGCAAAGAGGTTACTAACAGTGATCGTGTGTACAGGGTCTTGGGAAGGTCTGGTACAGTCTCATGAAGTTGCGGATCTTGGAACATAACCACAGCTCTGGGGGCACACTGTATCCCCTGGTGTTTTCAGGGAATCAAATAACTTTGAGGTGGCCCAAGAAGGGCTTTCATGTGACTCGCCTTCCTTAAGGCCTATCTTGATCTTGCCTAGAACCACACAGAAGATCTGACTGACAAGATGGTCAGGGATATGAATGATGGAGTACATCAGGGATCTTGGACCAGATCCAGAGATGCTGAAGCTGAGACTGGGAGAGCTGTAATGACCTGGGAGACAAGGGCCCAGGAGATGTCAGGAGAAAGTAGAAGGGAAGCAGAGAGGTGTGGCTGCTTCCCTCTGAGAGCCGTTTGTTGGAGCAAAGGCAGAAAGACCAGAGACGTCTTAAGATGTGTTAGAGGCTTCATCCTCTCTGTATGCTTCTGTTCACATCCATTCCAGGTACAGAAGGATACAACTGAAGCCACCCCCTTGGGATGCAGTGGTCTCTACTGTCAAAAAGCAGTGGCTTAAGACTTGTGGAGCTTGTTTGCTTTGCACAACCCACAGTGCTGGAGGAGACCCTAAGGGGCTTGAATGGACCACTTCTCCCATTCTGACCTTCAAAAGAAAGGCAGGGATAGACTCATGACCAAGACACTCCAGGAAGTGAGAACAGCATCCTGAACCTCATGGATTGCCACAAGGGGTCCAAGTATCAGGTAACCCTCCTGGCAGTGTGTGGGTGACAAACTTGCCAGACCAAGCTCCAGCTGAGTAGTACCCCAACACATACCCTCCTCCAGAATCCTGACTCAACAGGCCCACCCATGTCTAACAGCTCCCCACACACCCTGCTTCTAAACTCCCTTGACTCACTTTTCCGCCATCTCAAAGAAGATCATCCGGTCATAGTTGCTTGTACACTGCCATTCCTGCAGACCCCTCCACAGGCCCTCCTCTACATTCATGGTGGGCTTCCTCCGGGCCAGGGACCGAAGCACTGGGCTGTAATTCATTAGAACCACTCAACCCAATAATTGGCTGCACTCCAGACCCAGCAGACCCAGCCCAAGATGCATCTGTAAACTTGAGTCAGTATAAAGTTGGTTCCTAGGAGCCTCTAACCATGCAGCAGACATCGACAGAAAGATCTGTGTGTGTTTCCCTGACTGCCATGTGTGTCTCCTTCTATCACTGTGTGTGGAAGAATGCATGGGGCTTAGGCTCCCAACATGGAAGTTGGGGTGACAAAATCAAAGTGAAAGTCATTAGAAATAGGGCCTTGAGGGGTCATGGTGTGGGGCTCTCAGGATGGGATAGTGCTCTTCTATCCCAGGAAGGGAGAAGAGACCTCCCCCCCACCCAAGCTTTCTTTTAGCCATGGAGACTTCATCATCAACTGGCTCTTCAAGGTCTCATTTGGGTCTTCAGTGTCCAGAACTGTGAGAATACAGTGGCTCCAGCCTTTTAGTCTACCTGGTCATGTGGCTGAGCTGACTGACAAAATGCACAGAATGATCTGGAACCAAGGGTTAATGACTGGGGCAATGGTGCAGATCACTGCTGAGGATCAAAGTGGAGCAGAGAGACCAACACTTCCCCAGGGAGGGTCTAGAGCCTTTCTGGCCTAAGGGAAATTCCCTAGACAATGGGGTGGGGACAAATGTGCAGGTCTTTCGGGAGCTGGGCGCTCTCCCCATCCCCAGCTGTGACTTGCTGTGGGCCCTAAACACTAAGGTCAATGCTAGAAGATGAAACAGTAAGGGGAAGAACCACAGATGGACTGAAAGGCCTGCCTCCAGATCTTAGCTTTCTAGTGTGACACTGCTGTCCCTCAGAGTGTGGCTCTCTGGAGTGGCCCCATCCCCTTCAGTACCCTTCCTCGTCTACCTCATAGTCATCATGTTGGAGCCTCAGTAGGACCTTCCAGGCACAGGTGACACTCACATGAGGAAGCAGGAGAAAGCTGACATGTCAGGAGTCTGGGATAGGTGCCGCTGGACCAGAGTCTTGATGTGCTGCCAGCGCCGGAAGTTCCCATAGACGCTATCTGGTTTGGACAAGTAGTTTTCTGGGGAGTTGGTTTGGACATTGGCTGGACCACTGTCTCCAATTGCTCCTTTTGGAGTTGGTGCTGAGTTCACCGGGGACCTGACAGGAACCAGCTGGACAACTGGCTGTGTGGTGGGAGGGTGGGAGCTCAGGACCCACATTCCTTCTTGGGGCTGGACAGCCGAAGCAATTTGAGCATTTATGAAGGTGTTTGCAGCAGGTGTTGTCATGAAGAGTGAAGCAGGGCGCCCCACACCCCCGCCTTGGGTCACAGGGACATTACAATTGAGGGGGACCTGAGTGAGGACAATGCTGGCATTGTGCGTGGGCTGTACAGGCCTGCCTGGTGTCCCAACTTGCACAATGTTCAGAGGTACAGCTGTACCCAGGGTAGTGCTTCCATCTTCTGCCACCAAAGACATCCCCGGCAAGGCAGATAGCACTAGAGGGTTCCTGGGAGAGATGCCTGCAGTCATGAGGGGTGCTGGGGGCTCCCAGAATAACTGGGGTGCTGGTTGGGGGGCAGGTGGAAGAACAGGCAGGGTAGCAAATGTAGGCACGGAGGCCCCGGGGTTGACAGTCATGTTCCGTCCCAGTGAAGATGCTGTAAAGATAAAGGAGAAAGAGGAACAGGAGGGCTACTCTCCGGCCCTGGTAGTCAGTGGAAATTGGGGGAGGGTCACGGGGAAGAGGAGATTGCAGATGTTCTCCAGGGAATTCCTGCTGGGTTCATCTGGCTGAGCACTGTTCCAGCAGGGCTCTTCCTCCCCATTCAAACATTCCCTGATTGCTGCTGTGGAGAGGAGCCCTCCCTCAGCTTTCCCACCCCTGAGAGACTCTTTTGGGAATCCCTGGCAGAAAACTCATCCGTGTTCTAGCTCTCTCCCTAGAGGTGGTTCAGTTTGACTCTGTCTGGACCACCATCCCGGTAATGATGCCCGCAGGAGGCAAGGCACTGTCAATGAGGGCCAGTTTCCAGAAGGGCCTCCATAGCGGTGGCAGGTGTCAGATATTTTGACCTCCTCCCCTTCTGAGTGTTCCTTCCACACTCTCAAAACCCCTCTCTTTCTAGCCCAGCACTGCAAACCAAAAACACTTCTGTGCTATCCTCCAAGCCAGCACCCCGGAATCCTGAAGGTGACCCCGTAGCATGTCCGACCCATGCTTCTGCTTCCTCTCCTAATGCCTCCCACAGGAAACAGCGACTGGATAGATTCTGACAGCTCCACACTGCCCTGGCTGTCATTGATCCTCACCATGGCTGGGAGCCGTCAGTCACCCACAGCACTGGCGTGTAAGACAACCACGCAGTTCCCTGGCACCCTGTCCTTGCAAGCCCAGCAGTGGCGGGTGGAGGGTGGAGGCGCTGTCAGGGGCTTTCTAGGGATTGCCACGGTCACTGGCCTTGTCACAGCTGGCCATGAAATGGAAACCACATGTAGTCCTTTACTTGTGAGCTCTCACCAATATAAAACAATGCTTTTGGGGGTGGGTATAGTCATGTGCCAGGTGCCAAGTGGGATGCAGTTGTTTGAAGTTTTACTGTTACGTAGGAACTCACGACGGCCTCCCTCAAAGAGAGCCAAGTCCAAAAGGCCTGCACATGATGGCCACACACGTCCTAGCTCTGCTTAACAGTAACAAAGACCATGTTCCTAGACAAGCGCGTTTCCGTAAAGTCTCGGGGGAAAGGATCCAAACATCTCAACCCACCCAAGCCAACAGCACGCCAGGTCCCTTCCCCGAGTGAAAGCAACGTCGGGAAAGAGAGGCTTCCCGTCAGTTACATGATGGGCTAAGGAAACTGCACACAAAGTCCCAAGACAATACCTCTAAACTGACATTTTAAAAAGTTGTATAAGGATTCAGGCATTATGTCGGCCTGCCCCGGTCACCTGGCAGAGTGCACTAAGGCAGTGCCCTGGTCAGCCCAGGTGCAAAGGACCCCTTTGAAAGAAAGACCTCCCCCCCCCCCCCGCTGTTCCCCTGGGGCAGACAGGACTTTCTCTGTCTCCCTCTTCTCTTCTGTCTTCTCTCTGTCTCTGTGTCTCTTTACCTCTTTTCTCTCCCCTTCCTAATAAAACTTCTTGCTAAGCTCTGTCTGCCTGGCATGCTTGTCCTTCTGCCTTGGTCACCCTCACCTGACACGGAATCTGCCAATCTCCTCAAGCTTTATCATAACAAGTAGGTCTAAAAGCTGAGAGCAAGCACCCATTTCTTTGTTAGTTGACGTTTCCAAACTGCTCTGCTTCTGAAGACATCAGCTACCTGGTGATGGAGAAGCCTCCCCTCAGTGGGAAGGCATGAGGGACTCTGGGCTGCCAGTTGGTAGAGTAAGGTCCATCCCCACAGCGAGGACCCCACTGAACTGTTTTCCTGCTTGGCCATTTGTCGGCACTGTCCTCCTAAGGTCTAAGGTGGCCCAGTTAAATTCCTGGGATCCATCGTTTCATAGCGCAAGTTCCAGCAGCCTGGAGAAATGACCCAGAGCTCAGCTGTTGCCTGGGAACCTTCCCTGGGCCACCACCGTGAACCATCCCACCACAACTGTAACCTGTGCTTAGGAGACCTGCCTGCCACACAGGAAGAGCCGGGCTAGGGCCTGTCATCGTGTCTCCTGGTCAAGTGTGTTTCCTTGTCAGCTTCCAAGGTGAGCTGTCCTTGCAGATGTCCAGAGCTGTCTCCTACGCTCTCCCTTGGCCCAGTCAGTCGTTGCTAGTATCAAATTTAAATTGCCAGTGGTGGGGACTCAGGTGCCGTGCCCTGATACTCCAGGCTTACCTTCTGAAGTTATTCCTACAGGCTTGGCCAGTAACCATGCCTGTCTGCTGGGATCCATGATAGGAAAACTCAGACGAATCACGCCAAGAGTCACCAATGTGTGGCAGATGCTCAAGAGAGCCAGCCACAGCTTTGAAAAGTTTGAAAGTAAACAGCTCCAGAATGTGGCATTGAACATTCTACAGTGGGGGAGGGGCAGAGAGTCAAACAGGGCTAGGGACATTCCGTGAGAGGTGGTGGCAGGTGCATGCGAACCTTGGGGTCCGTTCAAATGGTGTACCCTTGTTGGAGATGACTGCACATGCTTGGTGTTTGCCTCTAGGCAAGTCTAATGGTTTCTTAAATTCACAGCACGGTGGGGTCACTGGTGCCCTCTTCCTTCACCTCATCTTTAGTGGATCTTGTTTTATTCCTCTGAGTCAGGCATTGTTCCTAACAGAAGGTAGGCTCTTGAGCATTTTTACAGTGTTTACACTTACTCAACAAATTAGGACATATATTCAGACAAATACAGAGGGTTCAAGTGAAAGAGCAGGACATATTTGGAATTATGATCTTGGGAGATCCATGGATCTTCCTGCCATGTGCATACCATTCTTTACGAAGTAGTCCTTGTGTGTCCGGCCAGTGCAGTGCTGGGGTATCTGGACCCTGTAGCTCAATAGTCTCCATCCCCTTGTGCTAGAATCCCCAGCCCATCAAGGCTTCGCTCAGTATGTGTAGCCCGCGGGATTCAAAAGTGAAATCACTTCTCTTTGGATCAGTGGTATTGAGTCCTTTTATCACAGACAGACATTTGACAATTAAAAATATGTTCTCTACCATAAAAAAAAGAATGTGTAGGCTTATGTGACAAATTGGCTCTTCTGAGTTCCTCAGTGGGAATAGGGTGAAATGTGAGGGACAGGAAGAGAGAAAACATCCTTCCACTCCGAGACAAAGAGGCTCAGGGCCCTGATTTTCCAGGCACAGAAACACATTTATCTTAGGAATTGTTAATGTTATTATGCTAAAGCAAAAGGCACTCACAACAAATAATATTTGCATGTGTAGGACCATTGCACCTTTGAGTAAAAGACCCAAATGTTCAACAGTGTGGTGAGTTGTTTCCATCTTGCATATTGGGAGTTTTTGACACCAATTGCGAAGACCTCAAGTAAAGGTTTTCAGTAGCATGAAATATTCGATACTCTGTCATAAAAAGAACTTTGCATTAGGTGATTTTGCTCCATTATAGGATCGTGTCTGTTCTGAGCATGGATAAGGTGGGCCATGCTAGGTACAATGCTTCAAGGTTTGGTAAATTAAATAGGCATTTGACTTGTGATATTTTCTGAACGTGGGCATGGTTGTAGCAACCCTTTAAAGAAAGCTTGTCTGGTTCCTGATTTAATATTGTGTCTCATATTGTGACAGGAAGGGTTACTAGGAAATGGTTGAGGAGGGATGAGGATTGAGAATCCAGAGAGCTGCCACAAACTGCTGGGTGCAAACCCTACTCCCTGGTAGGAGTCAGTAGGGCTTCTGCCTCGCAGAGGCTTGGGACAGGAAGAGAGGTTCAGAGGGGCCCAGGCTATCAAGTCTCAATTAAAGGTAGGATGACTCCAACTTCACAGGAAACGTTTGTGAACCAACATTTATTAGGAGAGCTCTCCCCTTGTAAAATAGGAGATTTTAACACAGTGGATGTTGTAGGAAGGACCCTAGAGGCAGAGTCTAGGTAAATCATGTCTCAGAGTGTCTCCTGGGTCTTTTTTTTTTAATTGTTGTTGCTTTTTTTTTAATTTATTTTTTATTTTGGCTACAAGTGTTCCTTATGGGAGCTTTCAGAAAGCATGGTGCAAAGGAGACAAATGCCATCCAAAGCGTTGGGTCCAGAAGGAGCCAGACCTCTTCAACAGCTTTCAGCTAGATGCTAAATGCATGTGTAGAAGGTCTGTAATCCCTGCTTCTAAGAAGGAATGGCTGCCCAGGTTCTGTGAGTAAGCCGGGGCGGGGGCGGGGGGAGGGAGGGCGGTGCTCCACACGCATTCTTTTCTTCTCCAGCAAAGCTCTATGCTTCCCCTGAGCGCTCCTGTTTGCGCATGCTATTGGAGTTCCAGTGCGAGCTCCTCCTGCCTCCCTCTGCTCCCTGCATCCGTCCGTTGTGCACCTGCTCAGACACAAGAATGGGAGAGGGCACGAGCACACCAGCGCGAGCACGGAGGATGCTGGAGCGAGCATGCCTCTTAACGTTTGGTGAATATGGCAGCGTCCAGAGTCCGTTACAGAGAAAGAGAAAGAGGTAACGGAAAGTCCGGCCTAACTTCCTGGGCATGCAGTCGCCACTGTCCCTGGCCCTTGAGTGTTAGTTCCTTATATCTTGCAGGCAGTGTGACCCTGAATGACCGAGTGCCTTCCCGAGGCTGGCCTGAAGCCTGGGAGTCTTTAAACCATTGGCATTGGCAAGTGCCCATCATTCTGTAGGCTGTCTGGCTTTTGATGTATGTGTTGGGGGTGGATGGGCGGAGTTAATAAATGAGGTGTGAACTTTGAAAGAGTGTCTCATCTGTGTCCCCGACATTCTCAGGAAACTTCCTACGTGTTGGAAAGCATTACTCAGTTGAGCAAACAAATTTCTCACATTGTTGAAAAATGGGTGGACTTTTGACATATCAGCCAGAAATACAACCTTCATGTTTTAGGGTTGTAGCTCCATTAATTGCTATTGATGTTAGTGACTTTTCACAATTGAAAAAACAAAAAAACAAACAAACAAAAAAAAAACAAAAAACAAAACAAACAAACAAACAAAAAAAAAAACCAAAACCAAACCAACCAAACAAACAAACAAAAAAACCCCTGGCCTTTAAAATTCAGCCTTGCATCTCCTTTTGAACCTTAAGAGTGGCAATAATAATGATAATAATAATAAAGCATTCTGTGAAAATCAGATGTGTAAAAGGAATTTACAACAAAGACTATTTTATTAAGTTTGTGTGCAACTATTATTTAATCGTGTGTGTGTGTGTGTGTGTGTGTGTGTGTGTGTGTGTGTGATATTGAGACCGAGAAGGTAGAAAAGTGTTTTAATTTTGGGAATATGAGGATTGTGGGGTGATTATTCTCATGTGAATATGATGGTGTGCTTGCTGACCTTATGGGGAGAAACTCAAGAGTATTTAGGACATAAAATTGGGAATAATGTATGAATTTCTAGTTTTGCATTATGAGTGGTGAGAATCTAATGTGTGTATTCTCATGATGGTGATGGTGTTTGTTTAGATATTTGTAATTAAGGGATTTTGATAGTGTGTAGAGCTTATTATGTTTAAACAATGTGAGATAACAAGTATGTAACCTTGGATTTGGGGTTAGGCATCTGTAATTTAAGTTTCAGACTGTTTTATCTCTTCCCTTGAAAGTTGAGATATTTTTGTTTGTCCTGGAGTTTGGAAGGAATGTATTCACGTTGGGCAAGAAATAAGGGCACGTGGACAATGTTAAGTAATTGTGCATATTTATGTGGCAATACAAAGGGGAGGCTATTATTGGGGAAATGTAGGGTTATTTGTATATTTGGAATGCCATGGGCAGTTATGGGAGTTGTCTGCTGTGTTTTTAGCATATGAAGGCAGGTATGTGACCAGGTTTGGGGGGAGGGGACTTATAGATTGAATATGTACACCTGTAGTGTCAGGTTCATATGATTCTACATTGGGCAGAAGGGGGATTGATTTCTTTGTGGATATTCAAAGTGTGTCATCTCATTTATGCAAGTGGTGAGATTGCACATTTGTGGACAGATATATTTGCACATTTATAGTGTTATATTAATATTTGATGTTGGTAGAGAAATCCATGAGTATGGAGTTTGTATTCTCTTGTATGGCTTGTGAATGTTTATATTTTCCTGCCTCAATGCTGGCTCTGAAAAAATAGAGACCACTTTTCTGTGTCATATCTGCTTCTCTGAGGGCTCCAGGGCATTGGGGGCCTTTACAGGTGTGTGTGTGTGTGTGTGTGTGTGTGTGTGTGTGTGTGTGTGTGTGTGAGTTTGAGTGTGAACAGAATGAAGGTCAGAATATAATTTCAAGAGTTGGTTTCACATTGAGTTACAGGATCTTTCTGATATTTTTCTGCTAACTGGACCACAAGCTTCTTCACATTTTCCCATGTCCACATAGGAGAGCTGGGATTACAGGCATGTACCCTACTGCTTATCGGGTTATGTGGTTAATTAATCAGGGTTGTGAAGGAAGAGCTACACCCATGGAGCCATGTCTACAGCCCATGTTTAAAGTTTTATTCATGCCCAGAGGAACTACTAGAAACTGACCAAACCCTTCTGGAGGGGGGGGGGGCATAACGGGAAGACATGGGGTCATCCTAAGTGTGCTCTTAAGGCAGTATGAGAAAATGCCTTGAGGGAATCTCAGAGATCAGCAACAGCATTCCCATTAGAGGTTCAGAAGCTTGTGGTACAGAGGAAAGTCTCTCTCTCTCCCACCCTAGTTGACTGTGCTTTCCCAGAGCCACCACGCTCCCTGCCACCCTCTCTGCCATGATGGTAATGGACTAAACCTCTGAAACTGTAAACAAGCCCCAATTAAATGTTTTATATAAGCATTGCCTTGGTCATTGTCATGGTCATAGTCATAGTGATTAGGACACATGGGGACCTGAGTTTGGATGCTCAGTGCTCATATAAAATGCTGTGCATGGCAGCGTGCACTCGTAACCATAGCCCTGAGAACCCTGTGAAGACAGGTTGGCGTAGCTAGGCCTAGACAGCTCAGTGAGCGCTGGAGTCAGTGAGACCGCTCAAAAGTGAGAGTGATGCCGGAAGATATATGATACCGGACACTGGCCTGCACACACACACACACACACACACACAGGCAAACGCACGCCCCTGCAGCAACCAATGTCCACACAACCTCCCCTACACACATAAAAAGCCTAGGCCAGGGTGGGAGGGAGGACTGTGGTTGGAATGTAAAATTAAATTTAAAAAATAAAGAAAGAAAACATAACGAGAAGGACCAGGTCCCCAACACCCTCTCCCCCGATGCTGTGTGTTACCTGGGGTTGGGATGTCTCATTAACACTGTCTCGGCTTAGATTGTTTGTCACCTGCTTTGACACTGCTGTTGCACTGTGTCCCCTGTCCTTCATACCCAGATGCTGTCTGTAGCTGACACTGAGTGATAAAATGGCTGGTGGCGAG